ACTTTCCGTACCCACTGTATATATATATATATATATTGTATACTGATGGTCACCCTGTTGGTGTTTATTTTGCGATAATGGCTGTCTGAGTGTATATTATTGCTCACATATTTTTAATATTTTAGTTGTAATAATGCACACATTTTTATGAAAAAAACTAAATGAAAAAACTAAAATGTTCAAAATGATTTAAATAAAAAAAAAGTTCCCTTTGACTTAATGTAGGCTTATTTTATTTTATAAAATGTTATTTTATTTTATAAAATAATTTTTTAAATATAATTTTCATAGTATTAAGTTTATTTTTTATATTAAAAATATATATTATCTTGTATTAATCTTTTTACATTTTTTTGTAATCTCTGTCACACGTTTGTTTTTTATGCTAAGGTACTTGCATTTCAATTTGACATAAATGCATGGTTAATCCAGGTGATAGGATGCACCTTTTGCTAACAGACACTGCTGTTTTCCTCCTTGTATCTCTTTTATCTGTCATTGTGGTGTGGCTGTATGTAAAGTGATTGAAATGTTAATTCCATGCAGTTTGTTTCAAAACAATATTTGAAAATTCATATTGATTGGTAAATTTCTAAGTTTAATTGTTTTGCTACACCAGCCTCTACTACACCTCTAGTACCTTAGACCTTCACCAAAAACAAAATATGTATTTGGTGACATCATATTCAGCCTTCATATTCCATATTATATATTTTCCTCTTATCTTCTCTTGCATGTTAATAAGTTTAAGGTAAATTTAGAAAGATATCAGACACAATCCACTCCAGCATCTCATCTCATTTTCACTTTATTTATTTATTTATTTTTGAGTGGTTCTTTCTCCTCTTACCTGGAATTGAATCATATCTTATCTGCATATCTGTTTTTGATGTCAGCATCTATGTAATCAGACTCTCCTCAAACCTGTGACTCAACTTTGCTCAAGCTGGCTTTAAATAACAGACGACCTCTCGGTTGCCTTCTCTCTGAAGTTATTTTAGTTATTTAGGTTATACAGAGCAGTAACACACGTTGAGTGCATTGGAACTGAAGTAAAGAACATAAAACTGCAAACAAGTCCAATAAGTAAATGCTCAAGGAGCTCCACACTTTTGTTGCAGAAACAGATGTAAGGTAATTAAGTGTTTGTGGGATAATTTATTATTTACCAACCATTTGTCCTGGACCTGGTGCTATGTCTTTAAAATATTATGTTCAGCAATTTTAACCCCACCTGTTGGCCTGTTTTTGTATTGTAGTGATTAATTATGTTAAAGAACCCCAAGCAGGTGTATCTGCTTGAACAGCTCTGCAATTTATTCATGTTTTTACAGAAGGGTTTTGGTTGTTTCTGAAATCATAGTTGTCTCTAAATTGTACAAATTGTCATTTTTGTTTTGTAGAATTTTACAGATTTAATAAAAATAAATTAATAAACATCTATATGGAATACTCAGCTGCTGATGCATTTTCTAATGAAATGGTCTTCTTAGCAGATGCAAAATCCTCTCTGCTTTGTAAATGTCCGGCTAAACCAGCACTAAGTGTCATGTGCTCTGAATGTGCTATGTTCAGTTTCGCTCTCGTGTTTTAATCTGTCTTGTTTGCGATCATCGCTTGCCTGTGGTTTCCTCTCCTGTTCCACGGATTAGAGAAGTGCTCCTCTTTTCTTCACGCCTTCACCTGTCGCCAGTTTCCTCTTCTCTTCGGCTCTCTGTCGAGATGATACCCTGGCCCCGCCCTCAACAGAAAATGACCCCTCCTCCTTTTACACTGTCAACAGAAGAGTGGTTTATTGTTGCCAGCTTCGGCATCCTCTCTGCTCTCACACTTTGCTACATGATCATCAGAGCCACTGCCAGCAGCCCCACCTATGAGTGAGTATTGTAGATCAAGATTTTCAGAATGTCATAGCATCCCTAAATACATTAACAGTGAGTTAGTACCTACTTCACAGGATGATTTGTCACATTAGTGTACTACTACATTAATGTACTACTTTTTTACAAGTAAATATAAAATGTCAGTATTATGGAGCTGTAATAATGAATCTTTAAATGAGTTTGATCAAAGAATGATCAGTTTATTTAGATACATTTTATATTTAGAGAAACTAGTGTTACTTCAGTGTCATTAAGATATTATTACAGTTTGAATTTGTATTTTATATTTTCCATTTTAATTTTGATTTTAGTTTAAAAAAAACAATACTACAAAAAAAGGAATGTGTGTCCACAACTAAATAACTTCTGTATGAGTTTTCTATTATTACCATGTACCTCAAATCAGTGCTTGTTAAATGTTTTTCATTTTCTATTTTTTGTCTTTTACAGACTGAAGTTGGAATGAAGATTTTTTATTTTTTTGTGGTGTCCTGATTTCTAAGACAGAAATGCATCCTGAAAAACGAAGTTGCCGATTGCACTTCAAGTCCATTTCTTGCACATGCATTGGTAGTGTTAATAGAGCTAACTTCCAACTCTGTAGACATGAGCACATTCAGAGCTTTTCACTGGGTGATATTGCTAATGAACTTCTTGTTTTACTCAATTGCTGTAATTAATAAGCCCTTTTTTTGTTTTCATTTAAATGAATAGTGTTCGCATATGTTAAATGTCTTTTAAATTTGAATTTTTTTATCCTTGATTGTCATGTTAATTAAATGTTTAAAGACATTTGTGTGTGTATTAAAATTGCTTTGTGCAAAAATCTTTGTTGTGCTAGTTAGTAGTTACTAGTACTTGTTGTATTCCCTGATACTCTTTTGATGATTTCTGTCTCTCTCAGTTTACCATGGTGAGACTCCTGAATCTAATTTTTACATTCAGACCAGGAACCTCCATCATGTCACATGTCTACTAGACAATATTGATTTACTGTGGCATATAATAGCTCTACAGTTGAATTCAGTAGTTCCTTACAGTAAGTCAAGCCAAGAGCACTAAAAATACTGTAGTAACACATCTATGAGGCCAGATTGTGTTTTGTATCAGCCTAACATTTAATGCATGGGCATAGGGATTGTATAACTTAAGGTCAGAGCCATTTGGCTCCAGCAGAATTTAGTTGGAAACGTAAAAAAAAAAACCTTGAACAAGCTAATGAAGGATTACTTGATGGAGTGAAGCATATTTTGCTGTACTGTAGTATAATATACATTATTAAGCTGCTATCTTTGAGTCTATAGTCATATGATTACAAGTTAGCACAGCATTTTTAGGATAAAATATCCAGCACATTTAAGTAAATCAATAAGGTTTTTTTTTATTAATTTCATTATTTTATGTATCTATTTACCCACCTGCGGGTACAATCTGCTTAAACATTGTGTTGTGTTGAAAATCCTTTACCTAATTTGGTTGTATCTTTTAAAAATTGTTGGTAAATCTCATTATGCTATATTATCACCAAATCTTGGATTCAACTTGTTTTCTTTCAATTAGCATAGGTTTTATATTTCTTTTTTCTTTTTTTGGAATTGATTAGCCATAGGCCTCACTGATCTGTGCTTGCGCACCTTCGTTTTTGAGTGAAAAAATAAAAAGCATTTTGGAGAAGTTTGTAAGCAATGTTTGTAGGCAGTCATTTTGGCCAGGAGCACCACAAGTGTAACAAGGCGGGGGTGAAAAGTAAAGAAATAATCAAAAGTGTTTGGGAAGTTGTACCGTGTGTGAGCAAAGTCAGTAAATCAAGGAGCTGTATATTCACAAATCACCCAAACCATAAAAAAATCAGATTTCCGCTGAGAAGCTTGATGGTAATTAATTGGTCTGGTGTCAAGGACATAATAAGTGTTGATTACACATAAACGACTGACATTGATTTTGTGCTGAGATGAAATGTCAGATTTGAGCACAACCTTTATGGAGGAGGTAAAGTCTTTTCAGTCAGCATCATTCAAAAGAATCATTCTTTCTTTCATCTTTCTCGTTTTCTTTCTATCCCCCTGTTGTACACACAACTGAGCATTATCACACATGTACAAATGACTTTTATGTCTCGATCTAACCCCATCATTTTTGTTGTTTGTCTGTTTTCAGGTGGTAATTTCTTCAACCGTAATTCTGTGTCTCTGCGCAGCGTCGTCTGTGAGATGGAGCTTCCAGACATCCAGGCGTCGCTGGACATGTACGACGACAACAAGTCCTGAGGACACGCACCTCTTCCACCTCAAGCCCATTCCTCCATCATCCTCTCCCCGACCCCAGACTGTGGGGAACAACCTTTATGAGTGTGAAATGGAGTATTGACAGTGAGAACACTGACTCTGGCGATAAACTCTACCACTGTAGAATGATCGGTCGCCTCAAGTGGACGTGATTGGACTATTGCACCATCGTCAGCCTCCTTACACTTTTAAACTTATTTTTTCTCTTACTTTTTGAAAGACTTATCTTTTCACAGATGGCTGTGGGAAGTTCCTCTTAGTTTGTTTCTCTGGTATCCTCGGTTAGCCACAAATGTTGTGTCATCTGTTGTCTCATGTATGTAATTTGCTGACCGGTTCCCATGCTTAATATTGTTCCAGATGGGGAAAACTCTCTCTCGTGGACAGTCGTAAAAGCAGGATTGGAAACTGAGCCTTTATAGAAGAGCTGTCTGCTTTGTATCTCTGCCTTTGTAGCTAAACAAGATGCAAACGAACTCGTCCTTCATATGCTGTAATGCTGCAGCTTCGCGTTTAGTGCTGGCCCATTAGCACTCGAAAATCCTTGACAAATCACCGTTACTTCCTGGTAGAAATCTACAGTATTTCTCTGTACATAGAAAGGAAATGTTTTAAACATGTATTTAAAGAAAATCCTATGGAGTCCCTGCAGCGAATACTAATCAGTTCCAAGAAAAGGGA